ATTTATGCATATATATATTCATAATCTGAGTAGCTTCCGCTGAATTTTTCCCCCGTTTAAAGAATGTAAAATTTGCATTTTATATTATGCCTTGATCTTTACACAAAATAAAGCAACATTATCAATATTCTGCAAGCATTAAGAGTATGGACACAAAAGCAATAAAGTGACGTGCAAACTTCAAAAGAATTTCTAAGATTTTTATAGCATTACGCAGTGTGCTGTACGTATCATTAAGACTGTAGTTTCTAACTGTATATTGCAATACCCAGTTGAAATAAGAGTAAGAAAACTGTATCTTATATGCGGATCTAGGAAAGTTGCATACTGGACACTTGCGTCCCGAATAATTAGGTACCATACAATTGCGTCCCTGGATATTTGCGTCCAAAGACAAATGCGTCTCTCGATAATGGCGTACCTCTGATAAATTTTTCAAGCTTTTAAACAATTACAATAAATTTTGAAAAAAAAAACAAAGGTAATAATCATAATTTTTAAAAAAGAAGTAAATTGAATAAAATAAAATAAATGTTTATTTTTGTTTAACATGCAATGTCAGATTAAGAGTTTTTCAAGTTGGCTCGTCAGGATGTTTTTGCTTCATCGGCGTTTTCCTCATGATAATGATAGCTGTAATTTTCCTCGTCCACAAATATTCCCCCCGCCACAGCATTCGATTTTCGGAACTTAGCCATGGGTTCCAAACAAAAATATAATGTATAAAAAACATAATTTGTTAGATGTGTGTTGTATGCACTGCTGGAGTGAATTGAAGCTGCTACTTTAATTTTCTCTTAGTTTTAAAGAGGATTTTTTTTTTAATTTATTTATGGTGACTACCTTTCTGCTTGTTTATAGTAATTAAGGTTATTGGTATGTAAATTTCTATATTAAACAACTCTTCAAAAATTGTAAAGTCTAACAATTATCAGAGGTACGCAATTATCCAGGAACGCAATTGTCTGGTACACATTTGTTCGGGACGCAACTGTCCGTTCAGCCTTATACACGGAGAATGCGATACAAATGTGACTAACTCCTTGATCATTTCATTTCATGTTATTTTTCCGAATTTTGCCACTTTCGTTTGCTACATATATTACGATGTTACCATTTGTAAGAAACATGACGTATAAAATAAGTATTTACTTTTAATTTCCAAAGACGCACGTGTCGAGATTTGGTAAAGTTAATTCCGAAGTCTAATGTATCGAAAATTGCTTACAACTATGCTTTTCTCGATAAATTATTGGAACTCTTATCTATTTGCCGCGCTGCTCATTCAAAAGCATAGTTTTATTCTTAATATTTACCCATTATTTGAAATTGCTAGCTCTTCGAATTGAGATTAGTGGAATATTAAATGATAGACAGCTTTAATTCATAAATACCAGAAGATAGGTTTATTGCAAAGAGGAATGATTATTTCTAATCAGAATGCTTGATTATTTAGGATAAAATAATTTTCTTTGAATTAACATGTTACAGTAAATGCTTCTTTTCTATAGGTGAAAAACTTTTAATCACAATTAAAAAGGCTAACATTTTCTAATACATGCACATTCATTCCACTTGCGATAATGGCACAATACGATTCCCGAACATTATGTTTCCTTTTTGTTCACAATCTATATTTCTCTTATATCTCCACACTTATTGTGCTACCTAGCGCCTAACTTACAACTTTATTTGCAGTAAAAAGTAAATCTTTAACGAGTTACTGGATTGACACCCAAAACAGATGCTTTTAATTTTTAAATGACTCCAAACACCATACCCCGTCCAGGGTATGACGATAAACTACGTCCAACAGCAAGGCAAGTCCTCTCGTCAGGAGATTTTCAGGGGCGTGGAACAACCTCTTAATTGCTTGTGTTCCCAGGTCCACCCTGACCAGGGGTGGTAGCACTTGTTAGGATCCCAGCGATGGGCAAATAGCTAACCCACAAACTGGGGTCAAAACGTGTAAAAATAGGTTTTAATACCGGAAATACTTTGTAAAAAATATTACCAACAATACATTTTTGGAAAAAAAAAATAATACCAACTATACATTTTTGGAGAAAAAATTTTATCAGATATACATTTAAAAAAAAAAATTACCATCAATAAATTTTGTAGGCATTAAATAACCCATTGAGGTTGATATGCCGTAAAACAAACCAAACCAAACACCATACCATTTTATCTATCAGTGGGTGGGAAAAGAGAACGAATTATTTATAGTGAGGAGGGTGGTTTGATATCCGGCTGGATGAAGCTCAGGTCCTAGCAAATAAGGAATGGAGCTTGTTGTCAGGTCAACGGCTCGCAATGGAGTAGTATAGACTCCGTAGTTATTTTTGAAGTCCGTGTGATGATTATATGACATAGCTTGGTTGAGGGCTTCATAGACGTAAGTCAACAAAGAGTGTCGAGGATCCCTCAGCGAATCAACGGCTACATGTCGTTGACCAATTCGGGTTTTCAAGTTGAAGAATATAGTCGGTGGTTTGATCGAGAGAGGAATGGGCTCCACCAGTGCTTCTTGTCCCAGACACAGTATACACGAATGAATATCTCTCTAGCTTCCAACGCAAATATGTGAACGGAACTGGTCAGGTTCTTACCTGCGAAGCTACACTTAGCCACACTCGGTCATGGGACTGGTGATGATAATAATGATGGTGACTAAATGTGCACAGACTATTCACCCAAGTGTCTGAAGGCATTTCGCTGATTACGTTTGATATATTCTTAACATTTAAGACAGCTAAAACTTATATTTTAATATAGTAAACACCAAAAATTAACAATAAGCATTATTCAATGTCTCTTTTGTTGCAGCTATAAAACAGAGCAACGAATGTGTAAAATGCTCAAAATTTTGACGTTCAAAATAAGTTCCCAGTAACAAATGTCTTTATAAATTTGTAAATCATTCTTCTCAAACAGACCGTCTTATCTTCCTGTAAACTAAATATTAAAAAAAAAATACTCCAGGTTTAATGATCTTATTTATACTCTAAAATATCTTCTGAATAATCCAGAATATTTTTGTGATTTTGACTATATAAAATGTAAAACATCATATATATATATATATATATATATATATATATATATATATATAACTCACCTTAATCAGAATATTACCGATTTTTATCAAATATTTTATGCTTTTGGAGAATTAGGATTACGAACATGGAATGTTGCTTCTTTGCAATCTTTGATACAACTAAAAAAGACTTACGTCTTCTTAACGGATCCATTTAACATCTATAACAAGGCTATTGTAAGGGAGAGCTTACCAGGATATAATACATGTTGGCAACATTTTAATAATATAAGATACGTAGATAACTTTGTGTTGATATGAGTCAGAGAAGGAAAACAACATGCCCGCCTAGAAAATGTAGTATAAGAAAGCAAGAAGAAAGGACTAACCATCAGTTGTAAAAGTTATATGAAAATGAAAAGCAATGAAAACATAAGCAAAGTCCGAAATACAGATGCCAATATTGAACATGTATAGAAGTTTATATATCTAGGAAGTGTTTTAAAGGAGATTGAACATGTGGCACTGAAATCTGAAGACAAATTGAAATAGTAAATTATGCCTTCTAAAATAAGGCAAAGTGCTTATTAACATAACATTTTCGTTAGAATCAATTAAAAGAGTGCTGGGCTGCTATGTAATATCGGTCCGATATTACTGTGAATTCTGCAAATTCCATAAACGAATCGAGTAAGCAATGAGGAAGTATGAAATAAAACGGTAACAAAAAATCACTTCTAGACAAAATCGGAGAAATGTGTGAATATAACTTGCAGACATAATGATGGCTTGGATAATTTGCCATTCACAAAATATATCAAGAAGAAAAAGGAATGAGGGACAGAGACTAGGTCACCTAATTTATTCGGTTATGTGAATAGATAGCAGAAAATTTAGGGGGGAATGGTGGTTAAAAAAACAAAAAAAAACAAACATTGTTAATTGGAGTAAAAGATCGGGAATTGTAGTGAGCCTTGACCACCCACGGCTTGAAGGGACGTGACTCACAGAAAAAATTGTATTTCGCAAAGTTGCGTGAAATAATCTCACAGACAAAATCAGGAAGTTTTAATTTTGGGTTACAATTTAGGCCACTCGAACGTTTTATGAGAGAATTCTGTCCAATTAGTGAAATAAAAAAAGAAAAAAAATCTGACAGATGTAATTGGCGATATCAATTTTGATCGGTTGACTAGAAAATCAAGGTATCGATCAAATGTCTTAAATTCATCATTTATCTTCCATTTTATTTTACAAAATTGCTGAGTAGTTATCTTCTATTCAAGCTTCGAACATTGTTCCAAACTTTGAATCATAAATGCATATTTCATATTGTCGACGTTCGACTTTACAAATTGTCTTCTTTCTTTTTTTTTCTTTCTATATTCTTTCTATATATTAAACTTTTTTAAAGTAGTACACCTTTCCTTATTTAAGGAGTAGGTATGACTTTCATTTTACCTTTTGTTGAATATAAACTTATACGATATATTTCAGGTGACTTCTTGTACATAACCACTACTATATTCATTCTATATATTTAACTTGTTTTTTTTTTTTAAAGTAGAACCTACTTACTTATTTAAGGAGTAAATAGGTATTTCATTTTACCATCTTTCTTTACTTTTGTTGAATATATAATTATAAGAGAATATATTTCAGGCGAATTCGTATGTACACGCACTACAGTAGATAACAATTAAATGTAAGGAGCTGAAAGTGGAGAAATACGTTCTTCTCTATTAACAGTTCGTTGCAATATTGTCTATAGTCGTAAATTCCTTTGACAGTTAGCTGTTCGTTTTGATGCTTGAGATTTCCAGTCATTAAATTTTAACAAGGGTAAACTTTTTCTCTGGGGAAATAGTCTGACGATTTTTAATTTTCTTAGTTTTATTCTTTCTTTTTTTCTTTCTTTCTTTCTTTCTTTCTTTCTTTCTTTCTTTCTTTCTTTAGCTAGAAACCTAGGTTACTAGCTAAGTATCTATATATCTATCTATCTATCTATCTATCTAAATGTGTTCCTAATTTTCATTGTCTTTCTTTCTCATTCTGTTCTTATCTATCTATCTATCTATCTATCTATCTATCTATCTATCTACATGTCTGTCTATCTATTTATTTATGTGTATATCTTTCATTATTCTTCTTTTACTTACTTTATTTCTCATTCTGCACATATCTATCTCTCTCTCTCTCTCTCTATCTATCTATCTATTTATCTATCTATCTATCTTGCTTTAAATATAAATTAAACCGTGATTCACAAAAGTGTATATTCTCGTTTTATCTTTCGTTCTTATTTTATTTTCTTGCGTTCTTTCTTTTCTTAATTTATTTAAAGTGTGAACTCCTTCATTTTTCTTCAAACAGTAAATTATTCCTTCATTTCTTTGTTTTTATTTTGAAGAGTACCCTATCCCCATTTAACATTCTTTGCTGTTATTCACTTTTCTTTGTAATATTATTTCTCAGCGGAATCAATGAATCAATGTAAGCCTAAAATTCCATATCTGACCCCTTTTTTTCCTTTTTCCAAATGCATTCGTCTCGCAGTCAAGGTTATCATGATTTTAACAGCCCTATTCCCCGGCGTACTTCAATGTAACATCGACGCCCCGTCTCTTTTCCTTATCACTAAATTACGTCACCTTTTGTTTTCCATCGTCTTCTCTTATCGAATTTATCTCTCAGTTTTCATTTTATTTTTTCTCCTTTTTAAAAATCATCTCAGGCTTTCTATCTTTTAGTTTACTGATCATTATCAATATTTTGACTTTTGAACACTTTTTCCATATATTTGCATCTTTACTTTTTTCGTTGATTGGTACTTTTCACAATTGTTTCCCTTTTTCATTATATTTTGATTTCTGATTTTTTTCGTCATTTTTTATATGTAGAATGAATATTTTTAAGTATTTTTTTTTAAATTCTACAAATATGCCGTTCCTTCGCAGTATTCGTTGTTTATATTAATTTATATCGTTTTTCTTTTTTTTTTCCCAAAGACACTGGCGCTTTCTTGTCATCCTAAGCAAAAGAAATAATTATTTAAAATTCTCAGTTCTTTCAAAAAGGGATAATTTTGTTCTTCTTTCATCCCTTCCTTTTTCCTTTCTTTCCTTCTTTTGTTTCCTTTCGGTTTTTTTTTTCTTTTTCTTTCTTTCTTCTTTCTTTTTTCTTTCTTTCTTTATTTTTCATTCTTTCGTTTTCTTTCTTTCTTTTTTCTTTCGTTTTCTTTCTTTCTCCTTTCTTTCATTTTCTTTCTTTCTTTTTCATTTTCTTTCTTTCTTCTTTCAGTTTCTTTCTTTCTTTCAACTTTCGTTTTCTTTCTTTCTGATATTTAACTATTCTATTTTATTACTCTCAGCGTGCTTTTCTATTTCCTAAAAAGCTTCCATTTCTATTTTTTGAAATCAGCTAAATCTACACTTGTTTTTTCACTATATATATATATATATATATATATATATATATATAAAATCAATTTTAATATCGATTATATACTATCTTATGAGCTCCCTTTGTGGATTATTTTCTGTGAAGGATTTTAATCCGTTTTGATATTGAATTATCCAGCATTCTTTTCGTTCTTTTACAAAAAGAAAATTTCTATGGTCTAATACAATAAAAAAACACACACACATAGATGTATATATATATATATATATATATATATATATATATATATATATATATATGTATATATATATATATATATATTTATATATATATATATATATATATATATATATATATATATATATATATATCTATATATATATATATATATATACCAATTAAAATTAAGCTCTTATTCATCAAAGGTTATATTTTCTTTTTAACCTTTAAATTATGTCTCCATTTCTGTCACTCAATTATTTTAATTTTTTTCTATAATTTCCTTTCATTTTCTTTTTTAAGTTTTGTTTCATTTCCCCTTCATTACTCCTCCTTATCGTAACGCATTCATGTTTCTTTCCAAATCACTTCACTCCGCGCCTTTATCTCTTTAACTCCCCTCTTCGATTACTTATTTTTCTCTTCTTCTTCCCTACCACATATTTTTCATATATTCTTCCTCTTTTTTTTTAATATCAATCTTTCTTCCTTTCAACTGATTATTTTATCTTTATTTATTTCCTTGTGAAAGAATCATCTCGTCGCTTTCAATCACTATTTTGTTTCACTTTTGGCTTAAAAAAAAAGCAAATATTTCTCTTCGAACATTATGTTATCTTCGTCTTCATCAAATTTGCATTTGCCGTTTCAGCTTTGAAATTGCGATTCGACTGCTGCTGATGCCTTTTTCTTCATATATTACTTCTTCAGGTTTTAAAGATTTTGGTTTGATCTTCTTTTCGTTAGCCAGTCTCTGGCGGGTTTGGATATGAAAATTTCCTTTCCTTTTATTTCGACAAGTGCAAGACATTTATATTTAGGGACAGAATGAAAGTTAAAAATTCGAGTGATGAATTAAATAAATTAATGACAGAATGTGAATGAAAACAAAGACTAAAATGGATGATAAAGATAGAAGGGAAAAGAGAAATAATAAAATGAATGGGCAGGTAAAAATCCAAACACATATAAAAGAAAGAGAGAAAAAAACCATAAATAAAAATAACGAATAAAAATATAACCGTGAAAAATAAAAGGAAAAAATAGAAATGAAAAAAAAAAATGGAAAGAAGACGAAGAATAGAAAGGCGAGACAAGAAGAAATGAAAAGAAAGACAAAATGAAAAGTGAATAAACGCTTAAGAGAAAGAAAGAAGAAAAATCTAAAGGGTAGACATTAATGAAAATTTTAAATGGACAAGTTAGGCGAAAATATGTAATAAAGAAAACTAAAGCTTAAACAATATTTATTTCTAATAAATCATTCCCATCATTGTGTGTATCCCAATATTTGTTCACATTCATTGAAAAATGTTCATCTTGATTTTTTCTTTCGCTTAAATTTCTTGTTAGTTTAATGAAAAATGTATCCACTGAACTGAACTTTATTGAAATATCGAATAAAGAAAAGCGAGATAAGATAAAACAAGATGAAGCAAAAGAAAAGGAAATTATATAATAAAAGAAAAGGCTGTTTTCGTCTCTAAAAACGATATAATATACACGAAGAACAGTTGATAATGAAAAGAATACTTCACAAAATATGCTTTAAGTATTATGAAAAACTAATACCATTATTATCATCATCGTTAAATGAAGAAGTAAAAGAAGAAGAAGAAAAAATAGAGTTTTAGTACTATAAAATGCATAATAGTAAATCGTGTATTTCAGCATGACCAGAGTAAATATGAAAGTAAGTGATGATACATGTAATTATCTCGATCTTGTTGGTGACCTGAAGAAATAATGGAGCAGGAAGTTTCGAATAGTCCCCATTCATAATCTTTGAGTTACAAACTGTTCTAAATATCCTGTGAAATATACGAGAACATTCTGGAAATGGGCGGAAAACTAGAACCGTCCATACTATAGTATTGTTCGAAATGGATGAAATTAAGAAGATTTGCGGTCATTTTATTTCCCGCATATGCTACTGTTGATTATAATCAACGCATTACGTACGAAGAAGACATATTGGAAATATAATAAAATGTAGAAGCCATTTAGATGAAATTATAACAGAAATCAAGAAGGGTATTGAAAAGTATGCCAAGGATACACGTTGTTACCTGGTTATCAACGATAGAGACGAGATAAAAAAGGAATCAACGTTCAACGAGTAAGAAAAAAGTAATAAACGTAATGTACTTTTCTTTCTTTCTTTCTTTTATTTTTATGGCTACAGCTACTATCCTCTCTGAAACAGGAGAAACTAATCTTTTTCCTACGGTTTATATTTGACAGAGTAACGAAACGGGGAATGGCGCGGAAATGGCAACAGAGAGTCGAGTTCAAATCCTGGCCGAGAAAATTGTGTACACTTTACTTTAATGCTTTTGGAAATTATTGGAATATATTCAATTCATTTTTATATATAAAATAAGAAAACAAATTGGATTTTCTCTTCCTTATTGTTAGTCAAACGGGACATTTTCCTCTCTGTTTTGGTTTATATGTATTAACCTGGTTGTCCATCTACAAATAATTTCTGTATTATGAAACATGCATGCCTCCACATGAAGCGAGCAAGCATTGTATTATCCAAACAAATAAATGATAAAAAAGTGGGTTAAATTCAAAAATTAAGAAATTTAAAAAAATAAAATAAAATATAAGCGAATATGCTTTTTTCTACTTACACTATAAGGCGAACGTATGTGGATAACATTTTGATTTTGATAAATCACCTAAATGTTGTAAGATGTGCGCCTTTTTCAAAATTAAATTCCTATATCGCTTCGTGCCAGAGAACTTTGTATCACGGATGTGTTTTATCTTATATTTGTTATTATTATTATTATTACTATTATTATTATTAATAATAATAATAATAATAATAATAATAATAATAATAGTAATAATATCGGAATTTCAAAAATGTAGCACACGGGAAAATCAACAATCTCTGTTGTAATTGGAGCCCTCGGAGATGGTTGGAAAAGATTCCAGTAGACTAATTGAAGGGATTCCTGTATCCCATGCCTTAAAGAAATACAAAAAGATGTTCTCAGGAATACAGCCCACACATTACGAAGGGCTTTATCTATGTAAAATATGTTTGCGTTTTGTTGTTGTTTTTGTTGTTAGTTTTTTATTTATTTATTTATTTTTTATTTTTTTGACAGTGGAAAATGTCATGATGCCATTTCTAAACTTAGGTCTCTGGGAAGGGCGTGGAACGAAATGTGAACACACCAGAAATGAAAAGAAATAATAATAATAATAATAATAATAATAATAATAATAGTTAAAAGAGGAGAACGATATAAGAAAAATAAAAACAGTTTTTAACTTTTAACTTTTTTTTGTTTTGTTAAACAATAGTTCATAAGAATGTCTGTCTTCTTCAAGTTATATTTAAAAAAAGATTTAAATTTATAAATCTACAAAAAATATAAGATTTTGTACACTCGATTTTGTCTTGTAAAGAAAAAAATGGCGGTACTGGTAATGAACGCGTCAAACCGAACGCAACGCCGCTGGCGTGAAGGTATGCAAATGAAACGTGTTTAATATGATGGTGATCTTATACGTCTTGGAATTTTCTGTTAGTTGATTAGTTACCAAGAGGAATTAATCAAATAGCTTAGCATAGATGTTATGGAACTCTTCTATCATCTGCTCTTTCCCTCGGGGCGGAAGTTAATAATTTGCATTGCTAACTATCTTGATGCGTTTTAAGTGTCGAAAGGTCGGTAGATTCTGAATATATTTTCAGAATGTACACCTTGAGATACTTGTTGAAATTACGGTCGTCTGTAATAATGATTTTCCAAACATAGCTAAGATGTGACACAAGACCGAAATTATAGTGCAACCAGTGAAGATCGAACTTACTCGTAATTGTTTTAGCGAGACAAGCTTGCTAACCATTACACCTCCTCGAGCTGCCCACATTCCTTTGTAATAAATTTTTTTTGCAAACTCCGTTGAGTTTCATTCGTTTTGACACGTTCATTACCAGTACAGCCATTTCTTCAGTACAAGACAAGAAACGTTTGTAGAATGCTTTATAATTTTTTGTAAATTTATATTTATTTTTTACTTGAAAAAGCATTTTAAAATATTGTTTACCATTGTCCAACATAATGTTTTTTGTCTTCATTTCTTGAATCACGCTCTTCTATTAATAAAATGTTGAAAATTTTGGAAGAGTTATGTTAAACAATTTATTTAATAATAATAATAACAATAATAATAATGAGGTTGTATATAACCGCAGATATAACAAGGTAATATGTACACTGGAATATATGCAAGAAGCACAAAATCGAAACCACTAAGAGAGGGTATGAGCTCCAACCAGATACATTTACCCAAAACAACGATGTTACTATCTTGGAAGGACATGCCAATTCAAACTGACCAGGAAATAACAATTAACATACCAGATATTATCATGAAAAACAAGAAATTAAGGAAGTCTATGCTTATTGAGATAGCAGAAACACCTCTATAAAATTTATCGAGAAATTGTCAAAATACAAAGACCAGGAGATCGAGATTAACAGTATGTGGAGAATGAAGACTGAGACTGTACCAATAGTAAACGAAGCTATGGGTGTCGTGAGAAAAGGAATGGATAATTTTCCCAGGTAGCATCAACATACAAGTTGCCCAGAAGGTCTCCATGCTTGAAACATCACATATACTAAGAAAAGTGCAACCAATTAAATGCCACTTCTCCTATAGAATCTAAGGACAATAGTTTGGAACGTGCTCTACAGGATACATAGCAGGAAATAAAACACATACAAATGATAATAATAATAATAATAATAGTAACGAAATTAACCCATTACTGCATGAAGTGTACTTATAATTTTAGCTCTTATCGTCTAGTCAATCTTGCTGGTTAATGGTAAACTTCTGGGTGACAGATCTTAAATATTAGCTAACCTCCGAAAACTATCCTTACAGTTCTAGGAATATAGTTTTTATAATCAAGTGTGATCGCCCTTATTTCGTTACTCTCCTCTTTGAGAGAGCTCTTCATGTTTACTGGGACTATAAAAAGTCACTCTACGCGAAACTTGTATTCTCAGCTTAATAAAGCTTTCTTAAAGACTATACCTGCGTAGTTTTGTTATTACAATTGTATAGGGTTTTTTTTCTTTTAATTCGAAAAATATATATTTTAGTTAAGCAATAAAAATGCTCATTATTATTCATTTTTGTATTCCTACATGACTAAATTAATATAAAGCCTTCATTAATGTAATTTAGTCCCCATAAACGTATATTGTCTGTAGGGAACCTCATTTTAGTTACTCCACGAAATTCATAAAATTAATGTTTTCTTCTTTCTGTTGTGTCTTTTTAGGGTGAGGGCGATCAATTCTCTCCATAACTTCCTTTCTAGATCTTAGCAATCTTTTGTGACGTGATTCTTGCTGTGTGGGGTCGCGCATTGTCCTGATGAAACATCACCCCTTTTCGATTCACTAGAGTAGGTCTTTTTTTCCTCAAAGCTT